GAGCCGCTTTATTACAGTCCGTTTGGCCGATGGTGCGGGTATTATTAAGTAGATCAAATGACATCTCATCGAGAGAATTGAACGCGACATGAAACACCGTAAAGCACAATATGCACATTGCGCACGTATATATTATGTCATATATACACATACGACGGGCGTCGCGAATCAAACGGTAATAAATACGCGATGCCGACTTAAACGTTTCGGCGTTTTAATATAACGTCGTGGGACAGCGAGGGTGCGGCGCTATATTATGTGTGCGTATCGGGGGGAGGGAGAAAAATACGTATAAAAAAGGCCAACGGGGATCGGCGTTTCGTCATGCTTCATTCCCCGAGGATTTTTTTTTTTTTTTAACCCCGCGAGCAATGATGACAAATTGGCCTACGCGACGCCGTGTAAATCGTAACGGCGGAGGTGCATTTCCGCTGCGACGCTCCCTCCAGTTTTCGGCGTTCGACGTTATCCCTCATTTCCTTTCACCCCCCCCCCCTGTCGGCATCTCATATTATACACGTTTTAAAGCGAACCGGAGGGCTGTGAAAACACGTTTTTTTCTCTCTTAAATCTGGCGTGCGCCGAAATTTATCGCATCCCCGAAAACTGGGGCTTACGCGGTGGCGATAATGTCGTTATTACGTTATAATATTACTATCAAACAATAATGAGGGTGAAAATATTACAATTTCGCGATATTATCGGCGGACGATTAACGGTGCCCGCCGTATTCTTGTGTATACGCAGTCCGACGAAACGATCGTCGTCTTAATATCGACTGTACGATATATTGTATAATAATAATAATAATATAAAATATCGTGCCGGTGAACCGGGGCCATTAATCCGACTTTTGTTAAAAACTTTAACCTTGTTGCCGTTTTAATCATCTCGGCGCGGAGTAATCGTAGACGGCTGCAATAATGAGACCGGCGGCGGTGGCGGTGGCGGTGGTGGCTGTTTCCGCGGCGGCGTGCCGCGTTACCCCCAATAATTGATCCTTGTCGGTTAATTTCCCGGGAAAAGTTAAAGTCGGTTTATGGTTGTTTACACGCAATTATCACGCGTTTTCCGCCGAAAACCCGTGAAGCTGCACACGTTCTATTATGTTTAATGGTTATCTCCCGGACGTGTTGCCGTTTGTCTTTATACTATATGAGTAGTGGGTACCTACGTATATTTGTAGGTACATACGAAATGGTAATAATACGTTTGTGTCTCTCCCCTACGACAGCAATAGTAATTATTTAACACTGCGACGTTTATAACAGTTAAATATTAATTGCTATTATCGCGTTGTCCAGTGACGTGCATGATATTATGGTTTCGAAACATTTACAAAGACTTGTATATTTATAGTAATAGTATACAATAATATCATTATTAATATTTATTTAACAGTCGACCATTTTATATAGTTCAATTTAATTATAATATTAATAAACAGGTAGGTATTTAATAAAATAATATCACAACTCATAAATTAATGTCTTCATTAGAAACAATAACTACAAAGTTTAAATAAATTAATGAAAGTATAAATATACTATGAATAATAAAAAAAAAAAAACAAAATTAGTGGGGTGGCTTATTATTAATAAGTCTAACAATCACTGTTTGGATGGGGTGGTCCCAACCGTAATAAGTTATATGAACGGGCTGGTACCTACATTAAACAGAACTGGGGAACGTGTGAAACAGGGAGAAACTTTAAAATGTAATTAGTTGAGAACGAGAGGAGCATAAATAGTCCATCCATCAACCTCCTTAAGAAGCACAAATTTTCCTTCACTTTTTTATCAATCATAATGGAATGTGACTGAATATATGCATATAACTGTTTAGTGGTCTTCCGTATGTTGATCAAGTATTTGGAAACGGAGAGTATGGAATACAAAATCGTCTTTGGACACGCTATATTATAAAGTCAAATATAAATTATAATATCGTAAATCAAAAATTATATTGACATTTTAGGATATTTAAATATAATGTTATAGTTTTTAATATTTACTTTTATTTGGCAGTTGTCACTGAAAAGTTTTAAGTGAGGAAAAGTTGACCAAGATGTTCAATACAAGTATGTGAATGGTATAGCTTCCAACACTTGATAATTCAATAGTTGATATCTGAAACACATAATTTTTTATATTGTTGTCAATTTTTTTTTTGACATAGGTAATCGGATAATCCTATATTATTGACACACTTTCCAAATCTACAAAAAATACTTCTACATTTTATCAAACTGCAAAATGTTGTGTTAACCCGTTTTAATCATAAAAACATATTATTACTAGGTCTATTAATAAATTATATACCTGTAAAATTGTGCGAAAAAATTTAAAGTTTCAAAAATGGTAGGTTGCAACATGGTATTGAATTATTTTTTCAGTCGGCGATCAACATTATTACTGTACTGCCACTGCACTTATGTTTATGCAATATGCTTATTATTGCCCTTTTGTATATATTCATGATTTCTCTTGAGTGTTTAATTGTTGGTAAATCCTACTATTTTCTAATGCTCCATGATTTTTGATTATACAAATAGAATGTACAATTTTATTAGAATATTACACGAATGTATAGTAATAAACGTTATAAAATTCGTTCTGATTTTAAATTAATATTTTGCAACTCGTAAATATATTTTATTGTTACTATGTCGTACATTGTACTAGCTGATGTTTTACTGTGAAACAAAAAAATTTAATTTTTAATATTTCCTTTTATTTTTATTTTAATCTCCGTAGCGATTTTTTCATTTACACCAGGATCTCGACTTAGTTTACATAGGACTAATAGCAAGCAAGACCATATTTAGGAGGGACAATAGGATGTATCTCGGATGGCCGAGTGGGCAGCTAATTTTTTTTTAAATTTACATTGTTTCAATTCTCTCATAACTCCATTCACTAATTTCCTACAATTAATATTTTATTTTTATATTTTGTTATTCATTACTTTATAGTATATTACCATTATAACATAAATACCTTAGTCATATTAAACATCGAAAGTGATACAACAACCGTCATCAATTATTAAAATAGTAATTTTACCTAATTATTTAAAAAGTATTATTAATTAATTTCCAATCCAGGAAACATTTTTTTTTTAATTTTATTTGAACCTTTGTAGTAAATTTCTATATACAGGCATACAGCCTTGCCGATAGCAAACTACCATAGTGGGTTGACCAATTTATAATATATAGAATTACAGGAATACGCAAAATTACTGCCAATATTTGATTTAACTTAAATGTATTTTAAAATAAAAAATTTTCTAATTGAAATGAAAGTATAACTACATAATATTTTGCATGAATGATAAATTATGTACTAAAAATATTTTGAATCATATGAAAAATAAATGAATAATTATCTTAACATGACTTATGTCATAAGTTATTATTTTAATCAAGTACATAGAAAACTGCACATTAAACAAAAACAAAAATACTTATAATAAGAAACAACAAATTATTTTATCAAATGTCTATAGTCCATTCAGTGGTTGATGAGCAATTATTTTAAGATTCCATTAAAACGTAAATTCAAAATATGAAGCATTCGCATTAACACATTGTCATTAACAAATAGATTTAACACTAGCAGGTGATAACAGTGACAATACTTTTAAATTATAATATATCAAATCTTGATATTTCCACTTGTTTATAATAATGTAAGTAAACGGACTTTTAGGGTTTATCGTTCAGTCCAATAAGGCTTAACCGTGTTCTATTTATTTATTAAGTATTTTCCGATACAAGAATTAAATTTATATTGTTATTACAGCATGCAGTTAATTCACAGCTGACCTCCAACGAGCTCAACTTACAATATATTAAATAACTTCGTTACTGAAGTCTCGGTTAGCTCGCCGTATGTGTATATTGAATACATTTTGAATTACCTGTCCGATAAACGATTCTAAATCGAGCTTGGTGTTTAACTCTTTTAAGATTTGTGAAACGTTTATCTGATTTTAAGTGCTTCAGGACTTTCACAAACTGTAAAGATAAATTTGGGTATGTTTTATTCTTGTATATTATATAGATACCTACATCAAAACCAAATTTGTTTACGATAGTGAAATTAATTTTGTTTGAGTTTTATCTCAAAATATTACGTGTACAATAATGAATTTGAGTGTGCAAAACCCGATTTAAATTGTAGATAACATGTGCCTCAAAATATAAATCAAGCGTTCTATTTATGAACTCGAGCATGATGTGCCTGATCATTGAGAGCCCACTGCTATAGTGCTACGATGAAAGAAAATACAAATAAACCGATTTCCTTGACATATTTGCTATTAATGTTTTTACCATTTATTTCTGTCAATACATTTTTTTCTCATAACATGATCATGTTGAAAGAATCTCGGTGTACAAATACCAATTTATGTAGCTAAAAACAAGCGTTTAGTAGTTTATCGCGGCAAGTCTTCTCGACTTACATCCATCACACAGTTATTTTAATATTATATTATTTTCAGCTATATTTATTGTGTATAGGTAGGCATCAGTAAAACTATATTTTAATACATGGAAAATGTTATAAAAATATTTAAATGGAATGAAATATATTTCATGCAGTACCTAAATATATTTCATCATTGTAGGTATATCATGTTATATAACCATGCAGTTTAATTGCCTTATTAAATAACTTATCATTGATGCAAAGTATTACGTAACATTTTAGTAAGATATGTATTTTATTTGGAAGGGATTCCAAGAAATCGGACTTTATAAACAATTCTTGCACAAATTAAATTATACAATGTAAGGTTAAAATTCGTCAACAATACTCACGATACAAATATACAATCATATTACTACTTAGAAATACATTATTATAAGACGACGTTATTATAATATGATATATTATACCAATACAGAGTAGTACTAAGAACGTTTTATTGTCTATTTTTTTTAAAATGGAAGTTTTTTTTTTTTTCCAGGAAAAAGTTTTACGCTGACTATAATGTTGAATTCGTGTCCACCGCAAGTAGCCACTTATTCCAAAGCCATCAAAGTCACAGTGGACGGTCCCAGAGAGCCGAGGTCGAAAACCAGTGAGTAAATTAATGCACACTAAAGCTTGATAAATTATCAAATTAAATTGGGTATTAGGCCTATTATTTAACTCGTTTGCAGGAAACCAAGGGTTCCATCCCTTCCACTTTGGACCTAGACCTTTCCCGTTCGGTACGCCACTGGATCCCAATAGGATTGCAGAATTGCCGTTAAAATTGTCAGGTAAACATGTCTTTTTATTCTAAAATTACTATTAAATGTCCCAAAAATGTATTATTCTTCTTGAATGATTTTTTTTTTTTACGTTTGTAGTTGTTTAAACAGATACATTACGCAAAATATAATTCAATTTTATCTTATAGTAATTTGTTCTGCGTCCGGTACGAATGTACGATTATAATTAGTATGAGTCCATCAATAATACTTTGTTAATCGTATTGATAATTATTAATTTGGTATTAAACTCATTACTTGAATCATAATAAAATCAAATAATAAATATCCATGTCATATACACATATTATAATATATTTCCAATAATATTCAAATTTAAACATATTATAGAAAATTAGGGTTTTAATGTATATTTATATTTATACTTGTACGTTATAGGTAGGTATACAATAGGTACACATTGTTGAAATATATTATGATTTATATTTAACTATAAGACAAACATTTTAATTTATAACTTAAAAGTAATACAACTTAATATAGTTATGAATATAACAGTAAATTATGAGGAAGTTTCATTGTAAAGATTAAAGTTATAGAAAAAAAAAACCATATAACATAACATATTATACCAACATAACACATAACATATACACCTTCTAATATAGATAGTTATAAATATTTCTTTACAAAATTGTTAAAAACTGCATAATTATTAATAGGTGTATGCGTACACTACCCATATAATTTCTTAAAAATAATTTTTATATTCTTATTTATTGAACTATGTAATACAATTTAATAACTGAGTATGATTCATTAAGTATTCTTGAACCAAAGTGTGGCGGTATTATAATTAATAAAAAATAATTTCCATTCATCCTTTATTCAAAATTGACCATCTTTAATAAGTCAAATTGTTTAAAGTTTATTTATAATTTACACAATTATAATTTAGTAGGTAGGTTTAAATTAAATATTGAAAATAGATTCATACAATTTTTAGTTTTTTTATGGTGTTTATCAACATTTTTTTTGCAATTAGTTTGTTTTTATATAAGTACTTTATACTAATAGTTTATTGCAAGTTGCAACAAAGAAAAACAAGTAGATACTCAATTCAAAAAAACTCACGTTAAGTTTTAATACAAAAAGTTGATTTAGTTATTTCATACACTTTAGGTTTTTGGCATGTTAAAATAGTTATTTGAATAATTGAATATAATATAAATTTGTAAGCACGAGATACTTATTCAAATATTTTTAATGAATACGACATTAAACATACAATAGTTACATGTTGCTTATCATCATAATATGATTTTATGTATTTTATTTCCGTAGCATTTATATAAACCACTCTTAGAGTCTATGGGTTGTAAAAGTGTTTTCGTGTTTCGTAATTCTTTATAATAACGTAATATGGACAAATAATTAAAAAAGCATAGGACATAATTTAAAAAAAAATTTTAAAAGGCAAAATATAATATTAAAAATTGTTTTAGTGATCAAGTTTAAAATTAAATCGAATTGGTAGGTATTAGAATTAAATCGTTATCGAAAAATAAATAAATATATAATACACATAAATTATAAAAATGCCTGTATTAAAATGAAAAGAAAAATGTTTTCACTTCTAATAATTTATCGGTGCCACTAAAGATAAATTTGTTTAAACATTAGTATTACATTATCAACTTTAGACAACAACAAAAATTACGTTATTATATTATTATATTATAGATATTTATATTTTAGATACGAGTTATAGATTTTTACCATGCGATATAATGAAACGAATGTTTCGCATTATTATACTATTTTTTAATATTAGCTTAAAGTGAAATAATTTTTTTACCTTTGTATAATAATGAGCGCAATAAGTAGGTACATAAACTTCGGTAAAGCGGCATAGCTCATAAAAATATATTATATAATACTTCGTCAAATGTAATAATATAATATTGTGTAACGATTGGACTTTCGCCAACTGTTACACTTTTACAAAAAGTTCAAAGACACTGCAGCGGTATACGGTGTTCGCAGACATCGTTAATTATATTTATAGTAGTGATGTGAGTGTATGATATGTAAGGTCAGTGGGGTGCGAAGTTCTGGAGAATCGTATTTCCAGAAGGGTTGGACGTTAGACTTTTCAGCTACAAACGAGTATAACAAAAAAAAAAAACAAAAATTCGGTTATTAAATCGAAAGTCTACTAGACGAGTCGGTTTTTAAAAGATTTCGCGGGCACTGCGGGAACGGATTTCACGTTGTTATAATATAGAGAAGAGTAGGCGAAATCTAACGGGAAAATAGACGACGGTAACCACACGTGGCGGCGATAGCAGGGCTCCACCAGATACCGCTGGGAGTAACATATTATTATAATATTATATAATAAATAGAATATGAATGTTATATTATTATCGTGTGCACGGGGTGATAATACGCAATAACTAATAACGACAGGTGGCACCGCCGTCGGCGCCCGCACCCCAAAATATTTCGTAATAACAATAGTATGCACCGAACCGAAGATTTTGGAGATTTTTTACGCACACTTTATTATTCAATATCATTATTATAAATTATCGCCTTTGCGTTTCTCTGTGGTACTGTCCGAAAGTCCACAAGCACAAATTTCAGTGTTTATTAATAGTCTCGCCTTGTTGGACGTCGCGGGTACAAAAATAACGTCTGGAGCAGTGATGGAATATTTTTGCACGTCTACTGCAATGGTATTCTATATAGTCGAAAGGTCGATCGAAAAATCGCGATATATAATATTTTTTAATACAATAAACCGGCAGGCTCAGTCGAATTTTGACGCGTCACATGCGTGGGGAGAACGATAAGCAGAAAAAAAATGAAAAGGAAAAAAAAATTACCGAACAAAAAGAAAACAATCCGACTGTGCGTTCTACGTCTCGTGGGTTTTATTATTATTATTATTATTATTATTATTCTTAACTGCGCACACGTGTGCCGCACCGTTACAATAATAATAATAATAATGCAGTTTCGAACTTTGCAAACGCGTATATATACATTTATATGTCCAACATGGGTACTGCGTACGTGTATGTAAAGGTACCTAACCTAACAAATACGGTGGAAAGAAAATAAAAAACCTTCCAAGTACGATTTCGACTTTAGCGCGTACGCGATGACAGACGACGCATATATAGGTATTCAGTTATATTATATACATACATTATGAACAGGGTGTTTCACGACACATGTGCAGTCCCCGTCAATTTTATTTATTTCGAAAAATATTAGGAAATACCCACTTTATTATCCAAAATTATTAAAATGTTGCTATCTATGGTGTTTTTTTTTTTGTTTCCCTGCAGACATTAAAAAAAAAACCAATTGTTTTTCTTTTCGGAATCTGCATACTAATATAATATTATACTTTATAGTGATACAACATAACCAATATGACATAATAATATATATTACGTAGAGCAGCTCATTCATATGAAAAATATTAAAATTGCAGTATAATATAATATTATTACTAATTTTCGTCAGGTTCTTATTCTTCGTATTAGTTAAGCTCGTCGTAATCTTCAGATTGTAGGCGGTACTATTTATTATATGGAAGAAAATTATATTATAACTATAATAATATATTATATAGAAGTGCATATTGTGCAGCCTATAATAAAGTCAGGTGGGCTCGTCGAGTGTGTGCTGCAGTGCGTACGATGACAAACACTGAAGACATACCACGTATGTACCTATAGGTACATATATACATGACGTTTAATATATATTATACATATTATAATATATATAATAAAGGTACACGAATAATGTTTGTATATTATACAGACACACACTCTGCTGCAGTGGCAGTCGTGTACACAAGTTTCTCGAGCTTTTTACTTTTTATTATTTATTTTTTAACATATTGTAAAGATGATGACGGGGAGGGGAAAAAAGAAGAATATTGTTCGCCCCTTATGTACTTGCGTCTCGCTGCAGTTAACGTAACCCCTCATACCTAACATACATAACATATGTATATATACCTACGTGTAAATATTGTCACGCGCGCACCGGGTGAGTTTTAACCGTCGTCGGTCGGTGTAGCTATATATATAGGTATTATATATATACGTATGTCTATAATAATATGTATACACGTATATACTGCACGCGGTGAAGGGGAAGACGTCGGCACGACCCTCGGCCGTTTAGTCGAGCTACAAATCTAATTTCCACCTCATATTGAAGACGATATACATATTATGTAGACGTGGGTATAGATGTGTACCTACATCGTGCGTAATGTGTGTAAGTCGATACTTCACACTGCTTCACTCTGGGATTTTGTTTCAAGCGCGTAAAACCGTTTCGGAATCTGCACACTTACGAGCGGACGACATCGAGTATAATAATAACGAAAATTCTGTTGGCTCCGCGGGTGGGCGAAGAAAATCCGTGTGCGGAGAAAAACGAATTACGAAAATAGTGTACTGCCGTTTGAATAATAAATTAAAGTATAAAATACGTATTATATATATATATATATATTATACGTTTTCGAACTGCACTTATGTAATAAGCGATATACTGGATTTTGTTTTACTTTATACTGGTTAGATGGGTGCAAATCTCGCTTGAGATTTGGGAGGGCTGAAGACATATTTTAGTGATATTGAATAAGTTTAAAATAAAAATTAGGAAATGTTTGGAGGGGTAGTTGACATTTTTTTTGTGGAGGTGGGGCTTAGTTTCGTCCTATTTTCCTCTATGACTGCATATAATATATAACTACTCTAAAAACAACGTTTTATTTTTTAAGGTTTTTTTATTCAAGTTCGACTCGATTATTTTGCGGTAGCAAACGTGCGTGCTATTAATAAATCATATAATATAACGCTATATAAAATATATTTTACTATGACGAATGACGATCACTGTTACATTATCATTGATCATATTATATATTATCTGTAATCTTACTGTAGAGTATTGCTAGAAATACGTGGCGAGACTTATCAGACTCTTTTTCACCTTATTGGCTATTAGTA